GCTCCTTTTTCAAGAGTCAAAAACCTTAACAAAATAAATACAGCCTCATCTATGTCTAGTGACCTGGTAACTTAAAGCATGTCTGCTTTTATCTCTTCACTTAGAACAGAAATTTGCCATGTGCCTGGTGCTTGAGGAGGCCGAAAAAAGAGTTGGGTTCCCCCGGAACCGGGATTACAGGCAGTTCTGAGCCACCATGTGGAATGGAACCCCGGCCCTCTGGAAGAGCAGCCAGTGCTCTTAATCATTGAGCCAGCTCTCCAGCCCCTTAAATCTTTTATAAAGTAAAAAAAGACTTCTTCCCAGGTAGGGTAGCACATTGCTGTAACGCAGCATTTAGAAGGGCAGAGACAGAGGATAGCCACAAGATCGAAGCCAGCCTGGATTACACAGTGAGTTTCATGCCAGCAGGGGTTACATCATGTCTCAGAAGAAAACAAAACAAAAATTCCCCATCATCTTGGCACATGCATTTGTCACTTTGAAAGCTCAACTTCAAGTGCTTTAATCTCCTACAGGAGCTCCAGTTTCAGCAAGAGACCCTGCCCCAGACAGGAAAGAACAGAACAATCGAGAAAGACGCCAACTAAACACACACACACACACACACACACACACACACACACACACACACACCTATGCACACGATAACACAGATAATATGAATATGAAGAATCCCTGGGGACTGGGGAGATGGCTTAGCAGTTAAGAGCAGGTACTGCTCCAGCAGAGGACCCATACTTGGCTCCTAGCACCCACATTAGGCCTTAGGTAGCCCTTCACTCCAACTCCAGGGTATCTGATACCCTCTTCTGACCTTGGCGGGAACCCACACTTACATACACAAACCTACACATCCACACAAACACATGCGCCTGACTATGAAACAAAATAAATCTTTTTTTTAAAAAATAACTAAGTTCTTAAAAAGGAATTTCTTAATGTAAATGTTTATTTTTGTACTTTTCTTATAACAGAGTTTAAAGTTTTTAAACCAGGGGCTGGCACAATGCCTCCACCAGTGAAAGCACGTGCTGCCAGGCTTGACAAATCTGAGTTCGATTCCCCAGGACCCAGAGGTGGAAGGAAAGTACTGACTCCCACAAGACGTCCTCTAACCTGCCCTCGTGTGCAGTGGCAAATGCATTAGTAAAGTAATAAAAAAAAACTTTAAATGAAAAATAATTTAACTAAATACTTTCAGTGAGTATTGGGCTAAAATTTTAAATGAAGAAAATATTATCAAATCATCATTAGGTAGGTAGGTATCTTAATCACATAAAAACTATGGTATATGATAAAAGTCTATGGTGTCTAATATTTAAGGAATTCAACTATTTAGAAAGAATAAATCATGTTGCATTTACTTAAAATCCATAAAATTTTCCCAAAAAGTGAATATTTGTTTTCCCTTTTCCTGAAGGATAGGGAGGGCTGTAAAGCCCGCTGTCGGTACAGGGAGATGTCTGAGATCAGCCATGCGTAGCCATAAGAGGCAACAGGAAATCCTATGGAAGAATTGGTTCATAAGTTTGGAATGTGTTATCAAAAGGCTAGGAAGCCACGAGTCCCAAGCAGTGCTTTCTATGTACTGTTCTCTGCCTTCTACCAGAAAGTCTTTCTCTCAATCACACCTATGACCAGCAGCCTTGTTCTAAAACCCAAGTACTTACGTACCTTCCACATAGGGCTAATGTAGTTAATATGTGTGGCTGTATCTTATAAACATAGCAGCAATTACAATTAACTAGTATTTATGTGGGTATCAGTTTTCTGTGTTTAAAACGAGTCAGTGGTCTCATTCTCTCTTGCTCTCTCTCTCTGTCTCTCTGGCTCCATCTCTCTCTTTAACACACACACAAACACACACACCCTAACTATGTATGTGCACAATTTATCTTTTTTCATCTTCTAGATACTAATCAGCTTGGCTTAGAAATTCTGTCAGTGGATGCAGAATACAATTGTTCGAAAATCTCTTGTTTATAGTTTCTTAATTTTCATAGGGTAGACACCCAAATCACAGCTGTCAGTCGAAGCAAAAATAGGAAATATGACTCTGGGAAAAACTTAGTTGTCCTAGCCTTCATGAGACAGGTATTTGATAACAGCTGTTGTTAAACATGACTTCACATTTTCTAAAGCCGATTATAACATCATTTCAGAAGCTCCTGAGAGTCTCTGTTCGCCTCAAACCTTTGGTTGTTATTTAGTATAAATAGGTGTCACACTTAACAGGGTCTCACTATGCAGCTTTGGCTGGCCCAGAATTCCTTATATAGACCAGGCAGGCCTCAGTTTCACAGAGGCACTCCTGAGATTAAAGGCATGTGCTACCAAGCCCTGCTTGTTTTGATTCGTTTGGAGTTTGATGTTGTTTGTGATTAAATAATTTGACTGTTACTTTTGTCCTCAAAGTTTTATTTTACACCATGCGACCAAACTCTTGTAGTCTTCTGTCTAGCACCTTCTGTAATTCATGTTTCCCAAAGCATATGTGTTGGAAGCTCAGCCTACAGTGAAGCGTTATTGGAAGGTTAAGGCTTAACAAGAATTGATGAAGTCATGTACAAGTTAACACTCTTGCTAGAATGTTTTGGGTTTGCTTATGTTTGGTCTTCTTGGCTTTTGTGTCATGCTTGCCTGCAACCCTGCCGGGCTGTAATTCATCAGGAAGTGCCCCCTAGGTGTGGCCTTTTGCCATGGGATTTTCTACCTTCAGAATCCTGAGCAGAATATTACTTATGTTCTCTTCTTTATAAAGTCCTCGGTATGTAGCATTTTGTTATAGCAATAGCAGAAAGTATGGAAGGGAACTAGTGAGGGAGGAAAGTGGAAAAAAAAGGTGGGGGAGGACCTAAATATCCATATTGAGAATGTAGTTTGTAAATGTATTCTATTCCTTCTTAGAGTTTGAATCTGAAAAGTCTCCAAGGGACTGATTTGAACACTTACTCCACTTCTGTTATTTCAGGAAGTTCTGAAGGCTTTGGGGGCGGGCTTCTAACTCAAGGAGGTAGGTTATTAGGATTGGGTCATAAAGCGTATCTTACCCCTAGCTCCTTCCTGTCTGCTCTGATGTAAACAGTTGCCTTCCTCCACACTCCTGCCTCCACGCTGGTCTCATTACTGCACTGAAACAAGCAACGAAGGACCTAGTCCTATGAAATCTTGACCTAAATTAGGATTTTCCTACCTTTAGAATCTCAAAAGTAACTCATGCAGTGGTTCTCAATCTCTGGGTCATGACCCCTTTGACAGTCACATATCAAATATCCTGCATATCAGTTATTTATATCATGATTCATAACAGTAGCAAAATTACAGTTTTGAAGGAGCAACAAAACAGTTTTAAGGTTAGAGGTCAGCACAACATGAGGAGCTGAATTGAGAAGTTGCAGCACGAGGAAGGTTGAGAACCATTAAATTTCTACCAATGAAAATAATAAGGCAGAACAGTCAGTCAACAAAAATCCTGAACAGTTATGACACACTACACCCAAGTTCACACAGTAAAGACTGAAAGAAACACACACAAAAAATTAAAAATTCCTGTGACGTTCTCATTCTAGCGGTAATGAAACTGGAAAGTATACACATAGCATTTCCAAATGTGATGAAACACTATGGAGTAAAAAGGAAAGAAAGGGGGAACATACGCATTGCAAAGTAAGGAGCTGGGCAAGTTCAAACATTTGAACAGAGGCTTAAGGGAAATGTGCAGCAGAGCAAGCCACGTAGACATCCCAGAGACGAACACTGCAAGCAGAGGAAGCTAAAGTATAAAGATGGTCGCTGAAACACTCAGGGAAAGCCAGAAGTGCAGGAGGAGAAGGAGGAAAATATAGGAAAAGGAAGGATGGGCGACCATAGGGCTCTTCCAATTATTACAAAGATGTGGGCTTTGACAATATATGGACTGGAAAGCCACCAGCGTATTTGGAGCGGAAAAGTGTCATGATGTGATGTGTCTGTTTAACTGAGATTTTGACTTTAGGGCTGTAGAGATGGCTCAGTGGTTAGTTCTTCCAGAGAATCCGGGTTTGATTTGATTCCCGGCACCCACAGGATGCCTCTCAACCACCTGTAACTGCAGTTCGGGGGAATCTGGCACCCTCTTCAGGCCTCCATAGGCACCAGGCACACACACGGCACACCAACATACGTGTAGACAAAGTACTCATACACATACAATTTTAATTTTTTTATTTTTTATTTTATCATTTATGAGCGCTTGTTTGTACGCATGCACATGCATACCCACAGAGACCAAAGAGTATGTCAGAGTCCCCTGGACTTAGAGTTAGTTAATCGTGAGCTGCCCAACATGGCTGATAGGAACTAGACTTATGTCCTCTGGGAGAGCTAAATAAGCATCCTTAACTGCTGAGCCATCTCTCCTACCCCCTCACATGTATTTTAATAAAAAAAAAAAACTTTTGGGGGGGTTGATTGAAGAGGACAGAGGATATAAACAGACTAATAAATGGGCCCTTGCAACAATCCAAAGGTAAGAGCTGTCTGCAGTGGCCACTGAAGTAAAAGGAGAGACTGTGTGCTGGGTTTATTTTGAAAACAATGCAAAGAAGATTTACCTACATAGATATAAATGCAGATACAGGTGTAGATATACATGGGCAAAAATCGAATGTAAGGGATCAATGATGACTCCAGGCTTAGGCCCTAACTACTCTGAAAAATGAAGACGAGCTGGCCTGCAGCCGGTGTATCATTGAGGCCCTATTTGGAGCACATTGAAATAGAATGCGTAGAAATGTCTACTAGACCGCCAAGTGAAAATGCTTTGCAAGCAGGTGGGTAAAGAGGTCTGAGGCTTAGAGCAGGAAGCCAAGACATGAACTATCACTGTCTAAGTTTAGAGAGATTACAGGAATTTTCAGAGTAGAGAGAGAGAAAAAGCAAAGGCTTAAGAAGAGGAAGGACCAGCAGAGCAGACAGCAGGGTGTAGCCTGTGAAAGAGGAAACGGGGAAGCACTTACCGAACTGGATATCAGGCAGACGCTGGGACAAGGTTGTCAACGGGTGAAATGGAATGAACTCTGACACCAAACGGCAATGCTGATGTCATCAGAGACCTGGCAGTCCCGTAGACCTTGCAGACCTTGGGCAGAATATTCAAAAGTAAAGTTGGATAGGAATGGGTTTAAGAAAAAAAAAAAAAAGTAAAAACACAGAAAACAGAAACAACTCACTAATAATGTTTTGCTCTGAAGTTATTTTCTGAAAAGAAAATAACTATCACAGACATATTTGTAGCCTAAATAATCTGCAAAAAGATACATTTAACATTCCTGTAATTTTTCTTTTAAAATAGGCAAAATGAGGCTTGTAGTAAGGAAGAAGCAAGCAACAAATCGGGGTATCCTCAGATTACCTTTGTCAAGTAACGAGTAGAAAGGCATTTGTTTTATCTACCCATTGATAACAGTTTTCTAGATACCAGCCAATACATTCATCTTATGCCTTTCTCCCAGTATTCGTCACAGTTCAAATGTTAAAAATAGTTAAAGACTAACATCACGTGTGTATGAAAAGACAACAGATAGTATCACTATTGCATCTGAAAAATCCCTTAAGGGAACTGGAGTTGTCACTCGGGGAGAATGCTTGCCTTGGAAGCCCTGGCTCTGGTTCCCAGCACCCAATAAACCAGGTGGTTCAGACCAGCACCCAGAAAGTAGAGCTATGAGAAAGTCAAGGTCTTCCCCAGCTATGACATGAGTTTGAGGTCAGCCTGGGCTATAATATTATTTGTTTGTTTGTTTCTTTGGTGTGTGTGTGTGTGTGTGTGTGTGTGTGTGTGTGTGTGTGTGCTTGAGAAAGAATATTTTAAACTATAAAAAGATCAGCTTTAAATAGAAACTTCAAAAGCCTGTATGTACAAAGTCTGGCCAGTAGGTGAACATTTGCACTTTTCTAATTTAATTAAAATTGGAATTTGTAAATCACATAAAATCTTAAGAATTTGAACTAAGCCTTTTCTTCATTTTAACTCCACAGGACATTTTTTTTTTTTTTTTTTTTTTTTTTTAGTGCGAGTGCTTGCCTCTAAGTATCTGCCAAAAGAATTGATTTATTTTTGCTTTTATTTTTTTTCTTTTTCTGGATATGTTTAGGTCTTACTTCCAAGACCTCCCACTTCACAAACACAAACCATGTGGTCCTACATTAGTGATCTGAGTATGAAGCAATGACTGTTCTTCCCTCGATGAATTCGTGGGAGAGCAGAGCCCCACACTGTAAAAGAAGAAGGGGCCAAGATCCCAAGCTGTGAATGAGCTGGCCTGGATCTAAGCAGATGCCTGAACTGTTCCCCTTGTTTTTCAAACAAGCATCAGCAGGATATCTGAGTTCTAAGACTCCCTGGCTAACAAACATGGAATTCACTTCACTCTGCTCACATTTCAAAGGAGGTGACCCTCTGCCTCAGGAGGTACTGTGAGGAAGACGACACCTGGCTGGCTGATGCCCTTTCCAGGCCAAAGGCAGAAAAAGAACTGAAAATACGTTAAAATGTTTTCAGGAAAGAGCACTTCAAACCCATTCTCTCGGACTGCATACAAAGCATTTGTGGGTGGTAGGAGATTGTTTCATTCTAGCTCATAGCCAACAAAAACAGCTAGAAATGCTTCTACGCCTAGCCTAACTGGCAAAGTCTAAATCTCAAATAAATTTTAAAATACTAACAGTAAAATGTTGTATGTGGTGACAAAAGCCACTCTCTCATTCTGTGCCTGTATAAATGAGTCAAGGAGTTTTGGTATTTAGAAAGAATGAATCAAAAAACGCATCGCTACTTTATCGTACAACTGCCCGTGTGTGTGTGTGTGTGTGTGTGTGTGTGTGTGTGTTCCTAATTTCTGGCTGATGTATTTAGTTAACCTCTGCTATTTTCTGGGATTCATTCCAAGACTATGAAAGGTAACGCTGAAGTTGTCATCTCTGTTGCTGAGATTCATTTCAGAAGATGGTTTGAAGTGGTCTGAAAAACCACTTTTTAAACATTCTAAACACAACTTTATGCTAAAAAGCCATGAGCACTGCTCAGTAATTGATGGAAAAGGTACAATTTTTTTTTTTTGGTTTTCTCCAAATTTTTTCTTCCAAATACACATTACAAAAAAGTACTATGTTAAAACCACAGGTTATTTAGGTATTTCTTTCTTCCCAATTCTTTTCTGTTTCTCAGTGTTGCAGACATTGGTTTAAAGGTAATATGATTCTTTAAGTGAGTGCCTATTCATGTATTAACTATATATATATATTTTTTTTCCCAAGTTCTGTACACATACTTTATTTTCTCTACCACTATTAACTGAAAAAAAATTCCTGAAAACATGGACAGTAAATGCACATAAAAACCCCAACCCCAAGACCAATGGAGTTCCTTCAGTTTCATGAAATCAGCAAGAATGGCAATTACAGAAGTCTACATTTCTAATAGGAGGTACACCTGAGGTATTATTAAAAGGCCCTCCGAAAATGATGAGAACCCAGTCCTCTAAACGTGATAGACGATGGAACCCATGGGGGTTAGGTTAATCCCCCACCCCTGAGGATAAATGGGAAACACGGCTGTGCTATGTCTCGGGGGTCCGGAGAGCTGGCGGGGCACTTGATACACACAGACCCTCCAGGCCCCTCTGAAGAACTCCCCCTGTGCCACCAGGAGTCCACAAACAGCGTAGCGCCCGGATACCCTGTGTCTTAGATGGAGTCAACCTACCTGGGTTTGCAGAAAGATTCCTTGGTCCGATCTGGTTTCTCCCTCAGCACTGCAAATCCTTTTAAATGAGTGCTTCGGCTGGGGCTCGGCTCGGGGCTTTGGTTGGCTGGCGAGCTGGCTTTTCTGTTTGTTTTGTTTTTAATTTGCTCGGGAAGGGGGAAGAGGGTGGGAAACTAAGCCCGCCCCACGACACATTTTTTTCCTCTTAGGTCTCTCAAACCAACCCACCCTCTCTCTCTCCGGCTCGGGCTCCGGAGCTTAAGGGGTTGATGTCGTAGTCCCAGGCAGTTTCCAAAGTGGCAGGAGGCCGGGAGAAGTTGCGTGGCTCTCCTCAGGTGCCGCCCCAATCGGCCGCCGGGTCACCCAACCTTCTGCGCCCTGTTGCGCAGTCCTGGGTGGCCCCGCGCCTGGGGTTCAGGACTGGAAGGGGGTCCCACCTGTGTCCCGAGGTGGGATGAGGCAGGATGCCCGGGCTCTGTGCCGCTGGCTCGGAAGGTGCCAACCACTAGTGCGCGGGCGCGCCACTGCGGGGCACTGGCCACTCAGGTGACCGCGCGGCGGGGACGCAGCGCGCGTGTCCGAGGCAGGAGCTGGGGCGAACCTTAGGGGCTGATTCTGTCCTCTCTAGCTTTTACAGCGGCAGGTGTAGGGAATGCTGCTCTAATAATTAAAAGGACTTGGCGAGGTGGGAAGGGGAACCAAGGAAGACCCCAAAGAGGGAAGTCATGAGCTCCCTCTACCCCAATGGGCATCAGCCATCATCTCTGCCTTGCCTGTCACAAAGGGGAGGAGGGTATTCCTTCATCTAGTTGACTAATGACCACTTCAAAGTTTTCCATGCTGGAACTCAATGACATTTGAGGCAGTGAGAAAAAAAAAAAAAAAAGTGTCTGTCCTTAGAAAGTCAGATTCCAACCTCAAATTACATAGAAATTTGCTGCTCTCGGCTAGAGATGTGTATTCACTTATCTGTTTACTTCCTTTATGTATGTTTATTGACATGGTGCGTCACATTATTTTCTTTGAACTCGGGAGAAGAGGACATAAGCATTTCTAAAATTCCCAAGTGTGCAGTTGATCTGCAGGAAAGAATAGAGGAGAGATGCAAGAAAAAAAAAAAAAAAGCATGTGGAGGTACTTTGGATTGGGACTACAGTGACAAGCAAAGGCCTCTCAGGTTAATTTGACCAGGAGGACTCTCCTGGGAAGACCATCAAAAAATGGGCACGGCAAGTGGGTTGCCTGAAATTAACCCAGCCACAATAGGGCAGAGAGCATGCTCCTGCTCCATGGGGTGAGCCAATACAGAACCAAGAGATCTGCAATAGGACTCCTCCTCCATAGACGAGACCTTTCAGGGTGACCTTTCAGGTGACCTTTCTAACAAGCAGCGGCCCTGCAGACTCTATGTTGAAGCCACGTTTTCTTTTTCCTTTTTAAAAAAAATTTTATATTAATTACAGTTTATTTATTTTGTATCCCAGCTGTAGCCCCCTCCCTCCTTCCCTCCCAATCCCTCCCTCATGTCCTCCCATGCTCCTCTCCAACTCCATAGGGGATGTCCTCCTCCCCTTCCATGTAGCCCTAGCCTATCAGGTCTCCTCAGGACTGGCTGTATTGTCTTCCTCTGTGGACTGGTAAGGCTGCTTCCCCATCAGAGGGAGGTGATCAAAGAGCCAGCCACTGAGTTCATGTCAAGATAGTCCCTGTTCCCATTACTAGGGAAACCACTTGGAGACTGAGCTGCCATAGGCTACATCTGTGCAGGGGTTCTAGGTTATTTCCATGCATACTCCTTGACTGGAGTATCAGTCTCAGAAAAGACCCTTGGGCCCAGATTTCTTGGTTCTGTTGCTCTCCTTGTGGAGCTCCTGTCCCTTCCAGGTCTTTCTATCTCCCCCTTCTTTCATAAGATTCCCTGCACTCTGCCCAAAGTTTGGCTATGAGTCTCAGTTTTGATATACTGTTGGATAGAGTCTTTCAGAGGTTCTCTGTGGTCCTGTTTTCTCCCTCTTCCAATATCCATCCCCTTTGCCTTTCTGACTAAGGATTGGTCATCTTACCCAGGATCCTCCTTCTTGCTTAGCTTCTTTAGGTATACAGATTTTAGTATGTTTATCCTATATTATATCTAATATCCACTTATAAGTGAGTATATACCATGTGTGTCTTTCTGCTTCTGGGATAGCTTACTCAGGATGATTTTTCTAGTTCCTGCCATTTGCCTGCAAATTTCATGGTTTCCTTGTTTTTAATTGCTGAGTAGTACTCCATAGTGTAAATGTAACACAATTTCTGTATCCATTCCTCAGTTGAGGAACATCTGGGTTGTTTCCAGATTTTGGCTATTACAAATAAAGCTGCTATGAACATGGTTGAGCAAATGTCCTTGTTGTATACTTGATCATCTTTTGGATATATTCCTAGGACTGGGTTAGTTGGATCTTGAGGAAGCACTATTCCTATTGATTTATTTCCAAAGTGGTTGTGCAAGTTTACATTCCCACCAGCAATGGAGGAGGGTTCCCCTCTCTCCATATCCTCTCCAGCATGTATTGTCACTTGAGTTTTTTATCTTAACGATTTTGATGGGTGTAAGGTGAAATCTCAAGGTCTTTTTGATTTTCATTTCCCTGATGACTAAGGATATTGAGCATTTCTTTAAGAGTTTCTCTGCCATTGGATATTCCTCTATTCAGAGTTCTCTGTTTAGCTCTGTACCCACTGATAACATAAAGTACCTTGGTGTGACTCTAACTAAGGAAGTGAAGACCTGTTTGAAAAAAAAACAAACTTCAAGTCTCTGAAGAAAGAAATTGAAGTAGATATCAGAAGATGGAAAGATCTTCCATGTTTATGGATCAGTAGGATTAACATAGTGAAAATGGCCATCCTACAGATGGCCTACAAATGGCAGTCTACAGATTCAATGCAATTCCCATCAAAATACCAACACAATTCTTTACAGACATTGAAATAAAAATTCTCAACTTCATATAAAAAAACCTAGAATTGCCAAAACAATCCTGTACAGCAACAGATTGTCTGGAGGCATCTCCATTCCTGATCTCAATCTGTATTACAGAGCAACAGTAATACAAACTTCATGGTATTGGCATAGAAACAGAATGATAGATCAATGGAATTGAATAGAAGACCCAGAAATGAACCCACACACCTATGGATACTTGATTTTTTACAAAGAAGCCAAAACCATACAATGGAAAAAAGACAACAAATGGTGCTGGTCCAACTGGATGTCTATATGCAGAAAAATGAAAATAGATCCACATTTATCACCCTGCACAAAACTAAAGTCCAAGTGGATCAAGGATCTCGACCTAAAACCAGACACACTAAATCTGTTAGAAGAAAAAGTGGGGAAGAGCCTTGAACTCTTTGGCACAGGAGATAAATTCCTGAACAGAACACCAACAGCACAGGCTTTAAGATCAACAATCAATAAGTGGGACCTCATGAAACTGAACAGCTTCTGTAAAGCAAAGGACACTGTCATCAGAACTAAACAATAGCCTACAAACTGGGAAATGATCTTCACTAACCCTATATCTGACAGAGGGCTAATATCCAGAATATATAAAGAACTCAAAAAGTTAAAAAACAACAAATCAATTAATCCAATTATTCAGAAATTCCACAACTACCTATTAAGTAGGCTTCATGGGCATCTGAGGTAGACAATGTTAACCTAGACATGCTAAGCTTTGGTTTTCATCAAACTGTTGCAAATAAATAAATAGACAAATGTCTTCATTGGTTAAAGCATAAAACTGAAGTGGAGACTCTGGTTTTTTCAAATTGTTATTATTCAAACAACACAAAAAGAAATCTTAATAAAGTAATTAAATAATCAAATTATCACATTCTTTTCCTATGGCTGCTATAACAAATTAATATAAACATAGTGCTTAAAACAGCAGAGATGTATTCTTTTTGCTTATGATGTCAGCAAGTCTGCAGTCTCTCCCAAGTCACCAAGGGACACTCCAGACCTGCCCCTTCCAGCTTTGACATCAGGGGCATCCTTGATCACAGCTAATGTAAATGAAACTGGAGCATCCACTAGAGAAATCAGTACGAAGGGGTCCAAAAACCAAAACAACAAAAACAAACAAAAAACCAAGCAAACAAACAAACAAACAAAAAACCCTCTAAAACTACCATATAACCCAACTATATTACTCCTGGGTCTACATCCAAAAAAAATCTAAGTCAACACACCACAGAGACTCCTACACACTAGTGTTTATAGTTGCACTATTCACAATAGTTAAGAAATGGAGTGAGCCTACATGTCCATCAACAGAGAGCTGAGGCGGGGTATGGTTCAGTCAGTAAAGCACTGGCATGAGGATCTGAGTTCTATCCCCTGAATTCATGTGAAAATGCCTGGAATTGGGGAGGCAGAGACAGGAGCACCCCTGAAGCTCACTGGCCAGGCAGTCTACCCTAATTGGTGAGCTTTAGGCCAATGAGAGGTCCTGTCTCAAAGGGAATGAGCAACACTCCTGAAGATAACATCTAAAGTTTTCCTCTAGCGCGCACACACACACACACACACCACCACCACCACCACCACCACCACCACCACTAACAACAACAACAAATGAATGGAAAGACAATACAGATGAATGGAAAAAGAAAATATAGCTTGTATACAGAGTGCCCTATGAAAATGTATACAACATGAGATCACTATGTTAAGCAAAATAAACCATATTAAGAAAGTCAAATCAGAGAGAGAGAGAGGAAGCTGTGAAAGCAGGAAAGAAGAAAGACTTGTAAGGGAGAGAAGGGAAGAGAAAAGAGTAATAGAACACAAGCATCATGAAGGCCAAGGGGGAAGTTAAAGAATTAGAAAGTGGGCAGGAGGGCAGCGGTGGAGGCAGGTAAAGGGAAGCAAAGCTAAATGACGTGTGTATGCGAATGCCATGGAGAATCTGTTACTTTATATACTAATTTAAAGAAAAAAAAAAAGCATGGGCATTATGAAAAATAAGTGCCTCAGGGAGAAGTACAAAGGCTTGCCCTCTCCATTTCTGTCTGAGCCCCAGCACTGCCTGAAGGCTAACCGGAGCGCATTGCAAACCATCACCACTGCAGAAGTGTAGCTGCCTTGATAGGCCCTTATTTCTGCACCATGACATAGCACCAAGGATCACACCCCAGGTTCTGAGTCAGTAGCTCCACAGAGCATTTACATTCAAATTAATTGAACACCTCTGAGTCTCAATACTGTTGGCACAATGCTTGGTTACTTAGGCACGGTAAGTGGATGTGAAGGAATAAGTGGGAAAAAAGAAATCATAGGCAATCTGGTAAGAACCATCACTACACTGAAAACCATCTCTATAATGAAATAGAATTTGCCAGAGCAAAACAGATTAACACCCTGACTCGCTCCATATTTTTGGAGGGAAGAAAAAAAATCCCTTAAAGGAAATCTA